GGACTTTTATTCTACATGACCTTTAAGAGTGTTTCGAGATCTAGCCAGCATTCCACCTGCGTGGACAATGTATCCCCATCCCATAAGAGTCTATAAACTGTTTAGTGCCACCTCTGCTGGCATAATTGCACAAATGCTACAAGATTCACATTTTTGAGTAAGAAAGAAAGGATTTGGATTTGTGGCAGGTCTACAGAGAAAATGTGGGCAATCTTTCAAATATGTTTATAAAGGATGCACACATGAGAGTGTTGATTTCATCTCACAGATCCAGCCCCGCCCACCAGTCTCATCAATAATATATGTTCATCATGAAATTCAAATGAGGCTTGCTATATAAGAATGATTCTCATATTCCTGAAGACACATTTTACTGTGGGGACTTGCTTACACATTCTATTGTGTTAAACATTTTTCTGAAAGACGAATCTTTATTGGGAATGTAGTGTCTTCCTGTAGTGACCTTAAGACATGCCACAGATGTCCTCTGTAAATTGCATACTTGGTATGAAGCAACAGGAAGAAGGCCAAGTCCATGACACAGGCCTCAGGTTAGAGTGTTACAAAGGTAGAGACCAAGTGTTACTCTGGACATTTCATTGTGTTCTTTATCATTTAACCTAAATTGTTGCCTTCAAGACTAGTTGCCATCCTCCCTCTCTCCCTTTCCAAGGGAAACTGCACTTCATAAATTTCATAGTCTACAAATACACACTCCATAAATTTCATAAGGTAAATTTGTGTGGATATCATCCATTGTTAGCTATTAATGCATATCCAGTGGCATATCTATTTTGAGAAGGCTGTGTTCGGGAGATCATATAGTTAATGACTGAAGTAATTTGAAATTGCAAGGTATTTATAGACATGTTCATATCACAGGATTAGAGAAACATGTATAATTTTCATTCTGTGCAGTCTACAGTATAATATTTTTAAATAAAACACAAATTGTTAAAGCCCTAAATCTCAGTCCCACTAGATGTATACTGCCCATTTATTGTGCTGCCCTATAACAGTCAAAACTGGAATACAGTTTTTTATGAGGACATCATTTCCTTAGTTTTTTTTCACTGTAGCACTAATGGCTGATTTGAGTAAATGGTTCAAATAATCTAGGGAGTAGGGTCTCCATGCTTTTTTTTTTTTTTTTTACAAAGTTTTCTGAGATACTAGCCAAACAATGAGGGGCCCACATCAATTTTTATGATGTGTTTTTAATATTTACAATAAAGATACTACATGTGATAAACTGGATCTGTAGGAAGTACCACGAACAATGTAAAGTTATTTCTCAGTCCACTGTTTCCATACTGAATAGAAGCTATAAGAGGTTCACCATTTTATAGATGATGAAAGATTTTCAAACATAATTTCCCAATGAAGACAGAGAAGAATTATACAAGATACTAGGACTAGTTCTCTAGTTACTAGTTGGTGAAAAAGGTGAGGTTTATTTTTAATAAGTATGTTTCACTCAATTTCACATGCTCCATCAAAAGCATCTTCCCTAATATATATTTTTCTTATTTTATTAATTTCAAATTGTGGCAGTGGCCAGAACCTGTTGATTCACACATATTTGCCACCTGCATAAATAAATTAGTTCTGAGTGCTCACTGTTTGTCCAATAAGTAAGTGAAAGATGTGTTTTCTTTTCCACCTCCACCCCCACTCCCCAGAATAGGAAACTATTGGATCGAGGTTGTTTTGTACTTTTCTGCATTTTAAGTGTAATGTCATGTGTCAGTCATGTGTACATTAATTAATATTATCAGAAGAAAAATTTGGGGACATAATAAAAAGCTCCCTCATGTAATCTTTCAGTGAAATGGGTACCTCCTCTAGTCTTTGTGTGTTTTCAGAACTATTACTCCTCACATTGGGTTCCTTTGTCATTGGTCTCTTCCAACCTGATGCAGAAACGTGACCTTCTGTTTATCTGTACGAATCTGAATGGAATTCAAACTGAGTCACTTTCAGAAGGAGCCATAAGATATCTTTGGTTCGTAGTAATTCCTCCCTCACATTGAAAAAGACACATATTAAAGATATAATACAATTTTTGAAGGGAGAAATGACTTACAAAGTGCAGAGGCATTCCCAAAAACCTACGCGCTCAAGCAAGTGGTATGCATATCCATGACCCTTCTGGTTGCTCCAGTGAAATTGATTTTACGAACTTCCAGGAGACTGGCACAGTGACTTTCCATCTTTGGTTTTGGTAGGAGATTTATCTGTTTGCCATTTTTATTACAATGAACACTGCCTCATGTCAAGTTTATTAGATTAATATAAATTCTCCTATCTGTTCATTTAGCAGTCTTGACTCAGCTACAACTGTTTGTGTACTTGGAGGAGTATGCTAGAATAAAGCCCCAAAAATATACCATGAGAGAGATTATAGCATTATTCTCATGGTGATGAGATCTGGTTAAAAACTTGGGAAATAGATTTCTCTCTACACACTCTTCGTACGACATTATTTTCAGAATGAACTGGCCCAAGGTTACTCCTGATCTTTGGTGCTCCTTCAGTTATATTCATTGGTAATGATCAGAACCAAATGGAATTCTTGAAGCAATTACATGCAGATATTTTGTCTCCTAAGAAATAGACACAAGAGCAGACTCATCTAATTAGCAGAATCCCTCCCTGGACTCGCTGTTTGTGCTTCCAGCACATGAATAAAGCTGAGATGTGAACCAGGACCCCTGAGGGCCGTTCCCCATAAGTCCCCTGTAGAAACTTGTGGTGTCTAAGCAACAGCTCAACTGAGTGAGCCGGCGAGAGGCTCGCTCTGAATGTGGCCCCACTAGGAACTGTGCTCAAGTGGTCTCAGCTGGGAGTTGCTCTGGAGTATCTGGCTAAAGGCATTTCAAAAGTAAATGCCATGCGCTAAAGAAATTCAGAAGTGTTTAACCCCAAAAGCTGTGATTTCAAGGAAGGCTGTACAGTGGTAGGAACCAGTCATCTGCTCCTCTGCTGTGTCAGCAAAATTCACAGTGCAGAGAACTTGGGTAATTTTCTTTTTATCCCTGAAAGCTTAGGATAATTATTTTTTGCAGCCACATTAACTCTTATGATTAGTATCTTGATGGGGTTTTCATACCTAGTGGAGTGATTTGGAGAGCCTAGATAGTTGCTGTAAGTGCACATTTATCTAGGAGAGATCGGAACCACTTTTATTTGGTGGTAATTCACTGAAATGAATTGTCAATCTGCACTCACACTACGGATAGGGACGAAAAGACAAGTCGTCAGACATCAGCAAAAATGGTATCCTTTCAAAGACTAATTTTGATAGTTTAAAACATTTTTCTATTAACAAAAAAACTGAGTTTTCATCTTGTATGACCTGGGCTCACTGTTCTTTAAACCCACCCTAGAGTATTTGAGAGATAACCATCTTAGGCACAAGGCATCAGATGATTCAGGCAGGATAATTTTTAATTTTACTCGTCTAAAATTAAGGGCAAATATATCTCTGTTGACCTGAAACTCTTTCAGTTCACGTGGAAATCATTACTTCCCTTTAAACACTGTAGGTTTGTAATCAGCGTCAGGGATGATGAAAATTAATTTGATGCATTTTTTTCCTTATAATCGCAGACAACCTGTGTCCAGTAAAAGAAAACAGAAAGCCCTGCAAGTTCTGGTTACATAGTAAATCACAAGCCCCCAGTGGTTTTCTGAGAACAGCATCTATGACATTTTAAACATTGATATCCACAGACCTGTGCCCATTTTGTTCTTCTCTTTACGGTAAAATAGCTGAGTTCTTTTTAGGTGTATTCTTTCTTTCTTAAAGAATTTTTCATTTAGAACCTCTCTTTTTTCTCAAGGTTAAATGGAAGCTGATCAGCGTTCAGACGGAATCCACCTCACGTAGCTCAGATGGATGGCCAAAGGGAGCAACATTGTCAATGACAAGGAAACACTCACCAGAAAGACAGTGCATGACATGATGTGTAGGACAGCTAGGCTGCTTCTTTTGCTTCTGAATGTTCCCCTTTTCATATTTTTGATTACCCTTGTCATAGGAGCAGACTGGATTACATATACTTTTGCTAATAAGAAGGCTTTTTTTTTTACAGCACTATTTTAAAAATAGCTATTCAACATAACAATCTTAATTTTGGTTTTCAACAATTTAAGTGAGTATAATCTGTCACCCTCAGCACATGTTTGATAAATACTTGTTATATATAGATGGATATAGCAATATCCATATTTGCGCGCGCACACACACACACACACACACACACACACACACACAAGTAGAGCTACAGGGCCCTGCTTAATAGTGTGTTCTGAATTTCATGTTCTCTTAATTGTCGCTGGGTTTATTTATATGCAGTTATGGTACCATTTGTAGAGCTTACTGGGTGTGTCCCTGTCAAAACTTTAAAAGCCACAGAGCTTGTAGAGGGTCACCATTATGTCTAGGAACAGACCCCGTGCTCAGATGGGAGGACTGCGCTGTGAGGTCAGTGAGAGGTGTCCACCACCCAGGCATACCCCAGCGTGGCCAGCTTTTCCCAGTGCTGAGGTTTCTGCTACTGTCAGACCCAAAGAATTTTGTTTATTTAAATAACTTCATAGGATTTGGATTCTATTTATGTAAAACATAGATTCCCCCAAAGAAATTCAATAAATAAAGGACTTAGCCACTGAATCAAGGAAGCAGAACTCCAGTTTTTAACCTTCCAATGGGACTGGGGCTAGACCCGACCCATTTCAATTTGTACTGCAATTGCTCTTCCAGGAGGCAGAGGGTGCAATGACCCCACCGACGGGTTCAGGACAGACTGTCTCTCTGGTCAGCAGCGGCTCTCTGTGTCATTGGATGAGGCTAGAGCTGTAGCTGAATCCGTAGCTGCTGGACCGTGACAAGGGCTGCTGGGCCTCTTCACTCTGCTCTGGGGCATAGCTGGGAAATGTCTGTGCACGAGACATCTTTGACGCACCAAACCCATGTCCTAGAGAGGAAGAAAGAAGACCTGTACTAAGAAACAGATTCAGAAGCACAGAAGGATAAAGACTATATCTACCTATCTGTCTGTCTACCTATTTATTTTTAAAAACAATAAATAAGGCAGCAGCTTTCATGTCTTCAATATTGAGCTCAAGGTAAGTTGAGAAAAACTGAGCAATTTTGTTGCCCTGATCCTTGATGAATTAAAATGTATTCAGATCTCAGTATTTCCTCCAAATGTACTTTGCCAAAAAGTCTGGATGCCGGAGAGCTAGGCAGATTTTCTAGGGAATCTCAAACTTCTAATATTCTTCAACTTTTGAAATAAAAGCAGAAAAGCTTTTCCCCAGAAAAAGCTGTTTTTGATGGAGAGCCTATAAGCTGCTTTCTTTTCCTTTATGCTCAATTTCAGCATACTAAAGCAAATTACACACTTTCTTAAAATCTCTGGAAACAGGCAAGCTATGCTTTATCCTAACCAGTAACCATCAATTATGAGGAAAAGGCTTTTACAAAGATAGAGGTAGAGATTCTGACTTATCCTAGTGGTATGTGAGTCACCGTAACTGAACTCACTTCCTGATATGGTTAACCCAAACAATTAAGCCCAATGGTTACCAAAATGGCCTGAAAATTAAATTCTATACAAAATACATTTAAAGAAATTTCTATCTATGCTTTTGGTTGTTCAGCTGCACCCCTGCCATGAGAAATAGTCTATCACAGACCAGAATCAGAAGTGATTACCCAAAACATATCAGAATGCTAACAATGTACAGAGAAAAATATGCATACTAAGGCTTCAGATGAACCTTCCAGTCGTTTCCTCATCTTTCTTTGTTTTTTCCCCTCTCATCCTTTTTAAGCCAGCAATTATTCTTCATACTTGAGAATAATTTGTATCTAATGGATGAGCTTAGTGGGAGAAGAAAAATAGATGTAGTAAGTCACGCTCTTTCCGAGTTTCTGTTTTACCCAAAGGAGGGGCTGTGCTGAGTCTGATTTGTGTGTTATCTGATCGTTTGGTCGAGGAACACAGAGAAGACAGTCTGTTAACCCCGAGCACCAACCATCTATCTCTGTGTCAGGCTCCTCAGGTGGCTCTGTCCTTGGCAATGTCAATCACTTTAAGCCTGTTTTATTGCCAGGTGTGTCTGGCGCCGCGGAAAATATTCTCTCAGTGTGGGATGCTTGGGAGGAAGGGAGGAAACTCAAATGAACAGGGTGATAAAAGGCTAATTAAAACGGAACCACTTAACCACTTAGAGGCAGAACTACTTAAACGTCAAAAAACTGAGAAAATTCTTGCATTAAAAAAAAATTATTTTAGATTCACTATGTCCTGGATTCTGTTGCTGTCCACGTCAAGGAAAGCACACCAGGCTCACCAAGAGGGGATCAGAGAAAATAGGGGCTTTTCCCCGGCACCTCCTGCCCCACGCCCCTGGCTCTGAGTTTTTCTGAGTTTCCAGAACTTTCTGCCCCACAGCACCTGCAAGCCCTACTAACCCTTCCCTTCCCTCTCTCCCAGGGCCCTGTCTCGCTCTCCCCCCCTTGCCCGCAGGCCTGAGGGTTGTGATGCCTCCTGCTGTTTCACATGCTGGCATTTTTCTCATCGGTTCCCCCAGCTCCTTAAGCAGACGCCTCGCCTCATCAAATTCTCTTAATAGCTTCAGCTGAGTGCATCTTTCTCGCAGGACCTTGATTATATAGTGAAGGAAAAATGAAGCAGGGCAGAGGAGGGGAGGAATTAGAGTTAAAGGATGGATTAAGGCAGTGGTTAGGAAAGAAGCTGGGAGAGGAGTTAGGGGCGGGACCAGGGGAGGTGCTAGGGGAGGAGTTAGGCAAGAGACTAGGGGAGGGGCTGGGGAGAAGCTAGGAGAGGAGTTAGGGGGAGACTAGGGGAGGTGGCTAGGGGAGGAGTTAGGGGAGGGGCTAGTGAGACTAGGGGCGGAGCTAAGGAGGAAATAGAGGAGGGGCTAAGGAGATAGAGGAGGGGCTAGAGAGGAGTTAGGGACGAGGCTGGGGAGGGGCTAGGGAAGGAGTTAGGGAGAGACTAGGGGAGGAACTAAGGAGAGGAGGCTGGGGGAGAAGCTAGGGGAGGAGTTAGGGAAAGACTATGGAGGCTCTAAGGAGAGACTAGGGGCGGGACAGGGGAGGGGGATAGGGGAGGAGCTGGAGGAGGAGTTAGGGAGAGATTAGGAGTGGATCTAGGGGGTGACTAGGAGTGGAGCTAGGGGAGGAGTTAGGAGACAATCTAGGGGAAAGTCTAGGGGTGAGACTTGGGGAGGACTTACAGGGACTAGGGGAGGAGCTAAGGTAAGGGCTAGGGAAAGAAGCGGTCAGGAGAGTAACTAGGGGAGGAGTTAGGGCAGCAGCTAGGGAAGAGACTAGGGAAGAGGGGAGGAGCTGGGGGAGGCTCTAGGGGAGGGGCTAGGGGAGATTTTAAGGAAGTGGTTACAGGTTAGAGGTGGGATCTCTGGAGCTAGAACACCAAATATATATGCGGCCTCTGCTACTTACTAGCTTGTAACCCATCGTAAGGGAATTACTTCATCTCTGGGTTTCTCAGTTTCCCTATCTAAAAATTCTGGATGATAATAGTGGCACTTAGCTTATATGATCTTTCTGAGTATTAATGGATTACCTGCTGTGTGCTGTCACCATGCCATGGGAGTATCCAAGCAGGATCGGTAACTAGGGGGGTCGGTGTAGGCCTCCCTACGGAGGCTGCATTCTGGCATGATGAAATGACAAAGTTCTAATACACTAAGGTGATATGGGAAAAAGCACTTGAAAGTTTTAATGATTGTATCTCTTACCATTGACTCTAGATAATATTTCCTAGTTTCTGTAATTGGGGATACTGGCACTTACCAGCATAAGAGAGCTGGAAAGTCTAATATTAAGATAACGCTCCTGGCTTCGGTTTTATCCTGTTATTTTTAAACAGTTTTAGACATATCTGAAAGAGAACAAATGCTGAAGCACCTTTAATTCACATTACTTGTGGGGTGAGAACTGAAGCTTAAGTTGAAAATTCAAAATATACTTTGCCTATTAACACAGTTTTTAGAATCCTAGAATCTTAGATGCAAATAGTCAATCGTGCGATTACTATTTACAATAATCTATTAAAGCAATTCAAGGCTCCACAGGAAAGATAAAGTATGGAAGATACGGTCCCTTTCAGAGTCCACATGCTGTTCTGAATGATGGCCAGAGACAGACAACAATAAACATCAAATCAAGAATGCATTCAGCCAGTGCTATAGAGGGTCACAGAAGAAAGCCAATGGGGCTTAGAAGAACATGTTATAAAACTGTGCACATCACTTCAATAATCACAAATAGCTTCCCCTGCAAGTGTCTAAACTGCCCCACTACCATGGGCTGTTGAAACAGACAGGCTTGAGTTCTTCCATGTCTTTTGGAGCCTCATTTTTCTGCATGGGGAGAATAAGGTATTTTGAAGACTGAAATGAAATATCTAAGAGGACACCTAGTATGATAGGTACGCAATAAATGTTAATTTTCTTTTTTCTGCACTAAAAGGGTCATATTCTTGCATTTTTTTCCTCAACACCTATGCTTTCTCCACCATCTCAATATGCTGTCCCTCTTGCTATGATTCAAATTTGTCCTCCAAAGTTCATGTGTTGAGAACTTAATTTTCAATGCAACAGCATTGGACAGTGGGGCCTAATAAGAGGTAATTCTGTCATGAGGGCTCTTTCATGAATAGGTTAATGTCATTGCCACAGAAGTGGGTTGTCACAGAAGTGGCTTTGCTATAAAAGTGAATTCAGCTCCTTTGTGCTGTCTCATCCCATCTTGCCTCTTAACCTTCCACATAGGATTATGCAAGCAGAAGGCCCTTACTAGATGTGGGCCCCTCAATATTAGACTTCCTGGCCTCTAATATTTCTTTTCTTATGAATTAGCTAGTTTGTGGTATTCTGTTATAGCAACACAAAAAAGACTAAGACATTCACTATGACATGCTTAGAATATTTTCCCCTTCAAGGTCAGCATTGCTTTCTTCACCTCCGCTGTGAAGGATTTCTAGTCTAATTAGAAATTAAATGATGATTTCTCTTACTGCAACCATTTCTTTACATATAATTCACAAATGATGCTATTTAATGCATATTACAAAAATAGCATACTTGAATCAGTACTCTATATATGAAGGTTTTGTAAATGCTGTTTGATTTTGGCAACAATGAGTATGAGAATAAAAGAGATAAATAATTAAGCTTTTTTCAACATTCATTTGAATTATGCCCCTAGGCAGTGTTGATGGAAGCAAAACAAAATAAAAATCAACTTTGTGTCTTAAATGAAAAACCTGACGCAACAGACTTGCTCATCACACTATACAAGGACTCTATTAAATGCTACCTAAACTTTTCCTCCAGATCACCCACTAAAGACAAATAAGGTGAATATGTACCTTTGGGCTCTGAGGGATGCTACAATTTAAAGGCAGTAAAATTGTTAATGGTTATTGGTTTATTTTAAAAGTCCTGTTATCTTTTCTAATCTTTTGTGTATTGATGTTTGTTTTAATAGAAAATACTATTTTCTACCCACGTATCTAGGTGATGTTGACAATCTGAGGGAAAAAAAGACCATATCACATTTATCTTGTAGTTCCAGGATACTCTGAAATGACGCTCATACCACCACTATCCACCAACTTCTCACTGGGTTATGTATGCATGCCCTAGAAATGCAGTCCCATTTCATCAATAAGAAAATATATTGGCTACAGAGACATTAAAACAGTTGCTTTATTCCGCCAAAATTATATGACCCTCTCTCTAATTCCAGGAACTCAAGAGTATCATACAATAAAAGCAAAACCACTCTAGCCTCAAAAACAAGCTTCCCTGCTGTGTCATAAAACTCCAAACTAGTAATGGACTAGAAGGAGCACAAATTAAGTAGCAAATAACAATCAAATTGAAATGCAAGACCAGAGATTCACATTATGAATGGAAGACAAAATGGAGAACAACAGCACATTGTGAATATCCTCTCCTTCCTGAGGAATTAAGAAATGCATTGTTGCTGACACAGAGTGACCGCCAAGGATTCCCTTTTTGCTAGCCTCAGATTTTTTATCTTACTAACACTGATATTCTGAAACATGTACAGAATGTGTAATAACTAAGTCAGGGTAATTGGGATATTCATCATCTCAAACATTTATCTTTTTTTTTTGTGTTGGGAATATGTAGTTCTTCTCTTCCAGCTATTTTTGAAAAATACAATCAATTATTGTTAACTATAATTTATCTACTGCACTGTGGAATACTGAAATGTATTCCTTCTATCTGACTGTATTTTTGTCTCCGTTAACCAACTTCACTTCATATCCTTCTTCCCCTTTCCCTTCCCAGCCTCTGGAAACCACAACTCTATTCTCTGTCTCCATGAGATCCACGTTTTCAGCTCTCACATATGAGTGAGAACTTGTAATATTAGTCTTTCTGTGCCTGGCTTATGTCATTTAACATAATGACTCTAGTTCCATCCATGTCACTGCAAATGACAGGATCTCATTCCCTCTTATGGCTCGATAGCATTCCACTGTATATAGGAACCACATTTTCTTTATCCATTAATCTGTTCATGGACATAGGTTGATTTTATTTCTTGCCTATTGTAAATAGTGCTGCATTAAACATGGGAATGCAAATATCTCTTTGGCATACTAATTTCCTTCCTTTTGGATATATAGCTAGAAGTAGGATTGCTGGATCATATGATAGTTCTACATTTCGTTTATTTTGAAAAGTCTCCATTTTATTTTTCATGATAGCTGTACTACTTAACATTCCCACCAACAGTAAGTGAGCATTCCCCTTTTCCACCTAAATAGCATTTGTTATTTTTTGTCTCTTTGATAATAACAGTCTAAGTGGGATGAGATAATATCCCATTGTAGTTGTGATCTGCATTTCTCTAATGATTAGTTATGTTGAGCTTTTTTATGTATCTGCTTGCCACTGTATATCTTATTTTGAGAAATGTTTATTCAGGAGCTTGCTTATTTTTACCATTTTGCTTTTTGTTTGGTATTGTTTGAGTTATTTATATTCTGATTATCAATCCCTAGTCAAATCAATAGTTCAGAAGTATCTTCTCCCATTCTGTAGGTCATCTCATCACCTGGTTAGTTTTTTTTTTTTCCTTTGCTGTGCAGAAGGTTTTTAGCAAGATATAATACCATTGGTCTATTTTGCTTTTGTTACCTGTGCTTTTGTGGTCTTACTTCCAAAAATCTTCATCCAGACCAATGTTCTTTAGCATTTCCCCAATGTTTTCTTTTAGTAGTTTCATAGTTTTAGGTATTACATTAAAATCTTTGTTCCATTTTGAGTTTATTTTTGTATGTGGTGAAAGATGGGGATCTAGTTTAATTCCGTGTATAAATAATGAGTTTTTTTCAGCACCATTTATTAAACAGACTGTCCTTTATGTAGAGTGTGCTCTCAGCACCTTTGTTAAAAGTGAGTTGGCTGTAAGGGCGTGGATTTATTTCTGGGTCCTCAACTCTTTCCCACTGTTCTGCGTGCCGGTTTTTTGCCAGTACCACCATGCTCTTACTATGCCATTGTAGTCTGCTTTGAAATTGGATAGTGTGATGTCCCAGCTTTGTTCTTTTTGTTCAGGACATCTTTGGTTATTTGGGATCTTTTGTAGTACCATGTAAATTTTAGAATTGTCTTTTCTACTTCTGTAAAGAATTCACTGGTATTTTGATAGGGATTGCATTGAATCTGTAGATGGCTTTGGGTATTATGGACATTTTAACAATATTGATTCTTCCAAACCATGAACATGGAACATCTTTTTATTTTTTGTACTCTTCAATTTCTTTCATCAGCATTTTATAGTGTTCCTTGTTGTAAATATGTTTTACTTCTTTGGTTACATTTATTCTTACATATTATATTTGTATTAATGGCTATTGTAAATGAAATTGTTTTCTATATATTTGTAGCCATTGTAAGTGAAATCGCTGTCTTTATTTTTTTTCAGATTGTTTGCTGTTAGTATATAGAAACACTGCTGACAGGCCATAATGAATAAAGAGATTGAAGGAGTAATAAATGTCTTCCACCAAAGAAAAGCCCAGGACCTAGTGGATTCACTGCTAACCTTTGCCTAACATGCAAAGGAGAACTAATACCAGTTTTACTCAAACTTTCAAAAAAATTGATGAGGAGAGGATACTTCCAAACTTAGTCTATGAGGTAAGTATGACTCTGATACTAAAACCAGACAAAGACAGGAAAAAAAAAAAAAAAAGAGAAAACTACAGGCCAATATCTCTTATGAACATAGGTTCAAAAGTTCTTAACAAAGTAATAGCAAATAGAATTCAACAACACATGAAAGAGATCATTCACCTTAATCAAGTGGGATTCATCCTCAAGATGCAAGGATGGTTTAAAAATCAACAAACATGGTACATTACATCAACAGAATCAAGGACTAAAACTAAAACTATACAATCATTTTAATGGATGCAATAGAAGCACTTGATACAATTTCACATCCCTTCATGACAAAAAACTCTCAACAAATTGGACATAAAGGGAACATATCTCAACCAAATAAAGGCTATTTTATTGAATGTGGAAAAATTGAAAGCCTTTCCACTAAGGACTGGAACAAAACAAGAGTGCCCACTTTTACCACTTTTATTCAACATAGTAGTAGGAGCCTTAGGCAGAGCACTTATGCAAAAGAAAAAAAGAACATCCAAGTTGTAAAATAAGTCAAATTATCCTTGTTTGAAGATGTTATGATCTTACATTAAGAAAAATCTAAAGACTCCACCAAAAAACTCTTAGAAGTTAAACACAAATTTACCAAAGTTGCAAGATACAAAATCAATGTATCATGTATTAATTATGCTTAGAAATACTGGGACTTATTGCCAACATCTTTTCTATAAGCTGTATCTGAATTTTACTCAATTTGTTTTCATTGTAAATCAAACCAGACTATTCTGGTTATGATTTGATCATTATGCTCTCCTAGAGTGCTTCTGAAATTTCTTTGGAGATCTCAGGGTCTCAATAGCTTCATGACCTTAAATAGATTCATTTATTGGGGGTATCAAGGCTCATGTTCAGCACATTTGAGACAATAGGGAATGAAGATCAATGGTTTCAACCCATAAAGACTGATTTAGAAAAGCCATAATATAATAACCACTGTTCGTTGTACATATATTTCATGTACATCCAGTGCTAAGTACCTTAGAAATCATATTTAAAAAAATCCTCATATCAACTCTGTACAGTGAGATTGCATGTTGTGATGGATTTTATGTGTCAACAGGAATGGGTTAAAGAATGCCCAGATAGCTGGTGAAACATTATTTCTGAGTGTGTCTGTGTGGGTATTTGAGGGGAGATTAGCATCTGAATTAGTAGACTAAGAAGATCTGCCCTTACCACTGTGGGTGAGCATCATCCAATCCATTTGGATAGAACAGAAAGAGGAGGATGGCAAATTTTCTCACGTTTGAGTTGGAACAACCATCTTCTTCTGCCCTCAGACACCAGAGCTCATGGTGCTTGGGCCTTTGGACCATGGGACTGACTCCATGGGCTCTCTTGGTTCTCAGGACTTCAGACTTGGACTGTGTCACACTACTGGCTCTTTTGGGTCTCCAGCTTGCAGATGGCAGATCATGGAACTTCTTGGCCTCCACAATCAGGTGAGCTAATTCCCACAATTGATCTCCTCTAATTTATCTATACGTATACTATTTGTTCTGTTTCTCTGGAGAACGTTCACTCATACACATATGTTTGTTTTACATGTGGAAAAACATAAATTAGAAGCCCAAAGGTATTTAACAACTTGCCAAGCTAGATAGTGCAGAAAGAGTCAGATCTAGGTTTCCTGGAAACAGAAGACAAAGCATTGCCCTTAACATGTTCTACTTTTTCTTATAAGAGCTCTTTAAACACTTGGGTCACTTTAGGATACAGCACAGCTTCAGAGAAGAAGTAATATCAGTTTTCACAACTCAATGCCTTAAGACTTGATTGACACACCTTTAAAATGGTGAAGTGTGTTGCTGAAGAACAATAAACACTCAAACAAGTAAAGCTATGTCTTAGTCTGCTGGGGCTGCCATAATAAAATATCACAGACTGGGTGGCTTAAACCACATTTGTTTTCTCAAGGTTTTATAGGCTGGAAGTCCAAGATCAAGGGTGTTGACAGGGTTGCTTTCTGCTGAGGCCTCTTTCCTTGTTTTGCAGATGGCCATCTTCTTGCTTTTTTTCCTTGTTTTACAGATGGCCATCTTAAATATGGCATGTCCTCACATGGCCTTTCCTCTGTGTGTGGGCATGTCTGCATCCGAATCTCCTCTTCTTGTAAGAATACCAGTTGTGTGCCGGGTGCGGTGGCTCACGCCTGTAATCCCAGCACTTTGGGAGGCTGAGGTGGGTGGATCACGAGGTCAAGAGATCGAGACCATCCTGGTCAACATGGTGAAACCCCGTCTCTACTGAAAATACAAAAAATTAGCTGGGCATGGTGGCGCGTGCCTGTAATCCCAGCTACTCAGGAGGCTGAGGCAGGAGAATTGCCTGAACCCAGGAGGCGGAGGTTGCGGTGAGCCGAGATCGCGCCATTGCACTCCAGCCCGGGTAACAAGAGCGAAACTCCGTCTCCAAAAAAAAAAAAAAAAAAAAAAAAAAAAAAAAAACCGCATGTAAAAAAAAAAAAAAAAAAAAAAAAAGAATACCAGTTGTATTAGATGAGGTTCTATCCATACGATCTCATTTTACCTTACTTATCTCTTTAAAGATCTGATCTTTAAATACAGTCATATGGGTTTAGGGAGTCAACCTATGTATTTTGGTGGGAATAAAGTCAGTCCATAACAAGCTATAAAAATCAAAATAAATCAGGAGATATTAACTCATGACATCTTTCTTTTTTCTAAGGATTGTTTTCTTTTCTTTCAGCTTCATTGAGGTATAATTGGTAACAAAAACTGAACATAATTAATGTATACAATTTGGTGGGTTTGGATGTTGGAACAATTATTTTCTTGACCTTTTCTCTGGGGATATTTGTACTTGTTTGTGAAATTATATAATCTGGCTTAAAATTACATACAGTGATTAAATATGGCATGTAATTTCTGATTCTTCAAATTGTCAAAAAATTTTGTTTAATTTAATGGCTGTCATATGCCACTACGTTTCTGATATAAACTGTCAAATTGCATTGCACTAATTTATATGCCCACCTAGTGGAAATAAAAGTAGTTTAACATTAGATAGACATAGATATTATCAGATTTTAAAAAATATTTTCTTCTAAGTTGAATACAACAAATTGCATCTCATTGTTTAATTTCTTTTTTTCCCTACAAAAATAATCTAATTTTTTGTGCCCAAATTTGTGTTTTCTGGGTTTTGTGTCTTGATAACAAATATTTCTTCATTGCAGTAACATTAAAATATTTTCTCCTACTTTCTTCTTAATACTTCCATAAATTTCTTCTAACTTTACTCATTAATTCATTGGGAATTTATCTTGGTTCTCAACCTAAGCTAAGGAATCCTATGTTGTGTAATGGTTAATAGCATAAACTCTAAAGTAAGAGTACTTGGTTTGACTTCCAGCTCGACTACTTACTAGATGGATGACATCCAGAAAATTCTTTACTCTTTCCCTCGAGTTCCTCAGCTGTACAATGGCAATCATAATAGTTTCTACTAATAGAATCATGTATTAAACGAGTTAGTACATAATGGTGCAGGATAATAGTATATTGCAATAGTGTTAGTTTTTGTCCTGTTCAGAATTTTTAGAAATGTCTCTTTGTTTCCTGCATTTTAAGCTTCATGATGAAAAACTGTATTTTTTTTTTTT